TTCGTCTCCAGCTCCGCGAGCGGTTCCAGTCGGACTTTCCTCTCCTGCGTCTGCACTCTGACAGAGGTGGTGAGTTCTCCTCAGACCTCTTGGCAGCCTTCTGTGCGGAGCACGGCATCCGCCAGACGTTCACGCTTCCGGCCTCTCCGTAGCAGAATGGGGTTGCTGAGCGCCGCATTGGCTTATTCATGGAGGTCGCTCGTACCTCCATGATCCATGCGGCTGCCCCCCATTTTCTGTGGCCGTTTGCGGTCCGGTACGCCACGCATCAGCTCAACCTCTGGCCCCGTGTCTCCTTGCCGGAGACCTCGCCCACACTGCTCTGGACGGGGAAGGATGGCGATGCGTCGCGTTTCCGGGTCTGGGGTGCTCGTGCCTTTGTCCGCGATACCACCGCGGACAAGCTCTCCGCCCACGCTGTTCCGTGTGTCTTCCTTGGCTTTGTCCCTGACGCGCCTGGTTGGCAGTTTTACCACCCCACCTCGCGCCGTGTCTTCCCCTCTCAGGACGTCACGTTCGACGAGTCGGTTCCCTTTTACCGTCTCTTCCCCTACCGCACTGCCCCTCTCTCCCCCCCCCGCCACTCTTCCTCGCTCCAGGTGCTCCCCAGGTAGACCCCCTCCCCGCTCCCGGTCCTGCTCCTTCAGGTGTGTCTCAGGTAGACCCTCCTCCATTGACTGAGCCGGTTGAGGTCACTGGTGACTCAGGTCCTACTGAGGGTGGTCCTGCTCGGGGTTCTGCTTCTGGGGGTGCGGAGCCTGGGGGTGCGGAGCCTGGAGGTGCGGAGACTGGAGGTGCTGAGCTTGGGCGTGAGGAGTCTGGGGGTGCTGAGCCTGGGGGTACTGAGTCTGGGGGTGTTGCGCCTGGGGGCGCTGAGGCGTCTGGTGAGCAGTCTCCCTGGAGCGGCCGTCTTCGTAGTCGCTCCGCTGGTGCCTCGCCGCTGCACTCTCGTCGTCGACTCCCTCTCTCCCCACGGCAGCTGAGTGAGTGGTGCGGCGGCCGTCAGGGTCGCGCTGCTGGAGCTAGGGGCCCTGCTGCGGGAGGCGCTGGAGCTGGTGACTCTGCTACTGGAGGTGCTGGCGCTGGTGGCGCTGGAGCTGGAGGTTCTGGAGCTTGTAAGGGTGCTGGCACTGGGGGTTCTGGAGCTACTGCGGGTGCTAGTGCTGGAGTTTCTGGAGCTGCTGCGGGTGCTGGCGCTGAGGGTTCTGAGTCTGCTGTTGCGCGGTTTCCTTGGAGTAGCCGCCTTCGTCCGCGTGTGCCTCTCACCTCACAGCAGCTGCACGACTGGTACGGTCGCCGTCAGGGTCACGCTTCTGGAGCTCGGGGCTCTGCCGCTGGAGGTACTTCTGCTGACGTCAGTGGAGCTGGGAGTGGTGCTGGTCCCGAAGGTGCTCGTACTGGAGGTACTGGAGCTGCTGGGGCTGGAGGTGCTGAGCCTGAGGGTGCTGCTGCTGGAGACACTGAGGCTGGAGACCCTGGGACTGGAGGTGCCGGTTCTGGGGGTGCTGCTGCTGGTGGAGCTGGTCCTGGAGGAGCTGGCGCTGAAGGTTCTGGAGCTGCTGGAGGTGCTGGAGCTGCTGGAGGTGCTGGAGCTGCTGGTGCTGGTGGCACTGCACAGCCGCGCCTGTTCTTTGCTCCACCGTCTCCGTCGTCTCAGCCACCATCTGACTCTGTGCTTCGCCAGGTTCTTAGTCTCCCTTCGTCTACTGGTCTTCCGTTACAGCCTGGCTCACCGCTACCTGCTCCTTCTCCTTACACTGAGCAAACAGGGGGTCTTACTGAGCATCGTGAGCCTGCATCGCGTCCTGTCTCGCCTGTCGGTTCTGGTCGTTCCGGTCGTCGTGTTCCTCGTTCGCGTCAGCCGGCTGTCTTCGGCACCCACCTTGTAGTCCATCGTTCTTCCTCTCCTTCGCAGCGTCTTCCCCTGCCGTCCCCTCCTGCGTCTTCTCTGCCTACCGTTCCTGAGCCTGAGTCTGACCGGTTTCGTGCTGAGCACCCTACTGTCACGCGTCTGCTAGCCACAGTTGTCACTGACCCGTCGTTTGAGTCTGCTGTTGCGTCTGCCTTAGTCGCTGAGCTTGTTGACTTTGCTGCTGCCTGTCGTCTAGACTACGCCGCTAGTCTTGTTTATGAATCTGGGTCTGTCTGTCCTCTGTCCGTCGGGGGTGAGTGTGCCCTTAGCACGGACGTCCTTGAGGACAGGCAGGAGGACCTTGAGTGTCTTGCAGCCGCTGCGCCTCATCTCGTGTCCATGCTGCTTGCCCCTGAGGGAGACCCGGATGCTCCAGATATCCCGACCCCGTGCTCTTACGCTGAGGCGATCGCGGGTGAATACTCCTCTCAGTGGCAGACAGCCATGGACGCAGAGATGACATCCTGGAAGTCCACAGGCACATACGTCGACGAGGTTCCCCCTCCTGGGGCGAACATCGTCAGTGGCATGTGGATTTTCAGGGTGAAGCGGCCGCCAGGTTCTCCGCCTGTCTTCAAGGCTCGTTACGTTGCTCGAGGCTTCAGTCAGAGGGAGGGAGTCGACTTCTTCCAGACCTTCTCCCCCACCCCGAAGATGACCACTCTTCGGGTGCTGCTGCACGTTGCCGCTCAGCGTGACTACGAGCTTCACTCTCTTGACTTCAGCACAGCCTTCTTACAGGGCAGCCTGCACGAGGAGATCTGGCTGCGCCGCCCACCTGGCTTCACTGGGTCGTTCCCTCCTGGTACCCAGTGGAGCCTCAGGCGGCCGGTCTACGGTCTCCGCCAGGCGCCACGTGAGTGGCACGACACACTGAGGACGACACTTGCGGCTCTTGGGTTTACTCCGTCGACTGCTGACCCGTCGCTGTTTCTGCGCACCGACACTTCGCTGCCGCCGTTCTACATCCTCGTGTACGTCGACGACTTGGTCTTTGCCACTGCTGACACTGAGGCTCTCGCCCACGTGAAGTCGGAGCTGCAGAAGAGACACACGTGCACAGACCTGGGTGAGCTGCGCAGTTACCTTGGCTTGCAGATCACCCAGGACAGAGCACGCCGCACCATCACACTGACTCAGTCACACATGGTGCAGCAGGTCCTTCAGCGCTTCGGCTTCACCTGGTCCTCGGCACAGGCCACTCCTCTGGCTACAGGTCACTCGCTCTCAGCTCCACCTTCGGACGAGTCCGTAGAGCCGAGTGGTCCTTACCCAGAGCTAGTTGGCTGCCTCATGTACCTGATGACCTGCACTCGTCCTGACCTCGCGTACCCTCTTGGCCTTCTGGCTCGCTACGTGGCTCCTGGTCGGCACTGAAAGGTGCACATGGATGCTGCTAAGAGGGTATTGCGCTACTTGTGCAGTACATCGGGCATGGGGCTCGTGCTTGGAGGACGGGGCGACGTTGTCCTCACTGGTCACTTGGACGCTTCTTGGGTTGACGACCAGGCTACGCAGCGGTCGTCACAGGGTTACACCTTCAGCCTTGGCTCTGGTTCAGTTTCTTGGCGTTCTACACGCTCGTCTTCAGTTCTCAGCTCCGGTTGTGAGGCTGAGATCTACGCCACAGCCATGGCTGCACAGGAGTTACGCTGGCTCACCTACCTGCTGACCGACCTGGGAGAGCGGCCTCGTTCTCCTCCAATGCTGTACGTCGACAACAAGGCAGCCATTGCCTTGTGTCAGGAGCACAGACTGGAGCACAGAACGAAGCACATCGCTCTGCGTTACTTCCTGGCTCGAGAGTTGCAGCAGCGGGGTCAGCTTCGTCTTGCTCACGTGGCCACTCGGGCCAACACTGCTGATATATTCACCAAGGCACTTCCGTCTGGTGATCATCAGCGCTTTTGTACTTTGTTGGGGCTTGTGCCTACGTTTCCACACTTGCTGTAGATTCTGCTTGTACTGTGATCTCTACATATATACCTGTATGCTTGCTCTTGTTAAGTAGCGGGTCAGTGCGCCCATACCCCCCCCCAGGCTAACATGCCTGTAACCCCCCAAGGATCAATCGGGGATCTCACAGTGCAGTTCTACTGACACACGGGTCCCTGCCCCAGCGAGGTCTGCGGCAGGCTGGGGCATGCTGAGGCTCGCTGCTTTTACCGCCTTGACGACGCTTTTCGCGCGGAGTTTGGTGAGAAGGCCAAGATTCCTGACTGATTAGGCTTGCTCAAGAAGGGCGTAGATGTGTTTGCTCTTGATTGGGACCAAATCTCTGCTGGCCATATATGATATGTATGGTGTGGTGCTAGTGCTGAGGGTGACTATTATTCTTGTGTACCTATATCTGGTAGTGTAGAGGTTGCTAGTGTAGGTGCTTGTGAGACTGCTAGCACAGGTGCAGTTCCTGCGGAGGCTTTGCACACTTTCACACTGGACTCTGGCGCGTCTAGGTGCTTCTTCTGCGACTGCACCACAGTCACATAGCCCACGGCACCTGTCCCTGTCACTCTGGCCGACCCCTCCTCTGGCCCAGTTGTTGCAGGCAGCGCGGTAGCGCGCTGGGCAGGGCAGGGCAGCAGCGCGATGGCGTGCTGGGCAGGGCAGAAACGACTGGCCGGGCAGGGGAAAAAACTACTGCCGGGCAGAGCGGAACGAATATGGTGGGCCCTAAAAAAAACGGTCCTAACCGGGACCTACTCTGAAACCATATCAAAGTTAGGAATGAGGAATGAATGAACTAGGCAACAGTTGGATACAAGTAGGAAACCCTAATTGGGTTATCCCCTCTAGTGTGAACCTCACTGTAGCCTACAAGCTAACAAACATATAGTTTGACACATACCTCACTACATGCGGAGGGTTCTTGCGTGGGCGGGAGTGGGTACAGATCTAGACCTCATAAGAAATCTACCGCTAGTCCCGTGCGAGGCCTGGAAGAGGGCATGTTAAGCATCAATAAACCCTTCATAACAACACTGTAAATCAGGGTAGAGATACCAGCCAGCACTGCCCGCGTTACTTAGACAAAAATGCGTGTCTGGCTTTCAGACCATCAGACGTTTCGTTTGATAACAATGCTTGCTTAGAGCTCTGTTGAAGACATTTCCTCAAGAAACTTTGCAACCAGCTCGTAGACAAAGAAGGTGATGGCAGCGGATGGGGCGGCTTTCATGACGGAAGGCAGCACGCCTTTATAGAGCCCCTCTACACCCTCAGCGGCCACTATCTTGCGCAAGGCGTCTATCATGCCGCGGTACGCCCTCGGCTGAATGCGCGCTCCGTACCTCGGATGGCGCCGCAGCCCCTCCACCTGCCGCATCGATTGGGCCAGAGTGGGCGAAACAAAGAAGGAATACGATGAAACGCCTTCAGATCGCAGCTGAGGGGAAGAGACTCGTTGTACATGGATGGGGCATGACATGACATGGCACAGCGTGGATGAGGATGGGGCATGACATGACATGGCACAGCGTGGATGAGGATGGGGCATGACATGACATGGCACAGCGTGGATGAGGATGGGGCATGGAGCGGCATGGGATACGCATCCCATGGAGTCACATAATATGAAATAGCATTGCAAGGCAAGGCAAAGCATGGGAAGGCATGGCAAGGCATGGCAAGGCGCGGCAAGGCATGGCACGGCATGGCAAGGCATGGCAAGGAACGGCAAGGCATGGCAAGGCATGGCAAGGCATGGCAAGGAACGGCAAGGCATGGCAAGGCATGGGAGGGCATGGGAGGGCATCTGACTTGGAATCGTTTTTTGACGACATCGAGTGGGTGGCAGGCGACCTTGGCCAGTGTGCCCGCTGCCAGCCCACACATGAACTGCTGCCACGCGCTCACATGCCCCGCAGATAGGGGAGGCCGTGCCGCCCGCTCCACTGCCGATGCCACGGCTGGCGGGGCTGCAGCTGGTGATGGTGATGGCGGCGGGGAGAGTGGCGCGGTGGATGGGGCTGTGGAGGGCAGGTGCGAGTGGGCGAGCGACACGGGGCGGTCGTGGCGAGCCTTGGAGCGCGACCAGTTGTAGTGCTGCATGCAGTCAGAGGAAGCGGGCGGCAATGCCACACACACATGTGAGCAGGCTGACGTGGCAGTGGTTAGTAAAGAGAACGAAGTGGAGACAGGAAGACTGTCGGGAGTAGGTAGCATGAGATAGGAGTTGAAAGAAGATGAGAGGCACGTGGACGGCGTATGGTAGAGCAAGTCCAACAGCATTGGTTGGGGGCTGACCAACAGAATGGCAATGGAGGAGGGCAAGGCAAGTGAGAAGGTGCGATCGCTGCGCCTCCGCAGTGCTGCTACCGGCACCTCACGGCCGCCAGAGAGCAGAGGGGGGCATTCCAGATAGAGGTGCTACGAGCAGAGGGGGGCATTCCAGATAGAGGTGCTACGAGCAGAGGGGGGCATTCCAGATAGAGGTGCTACGAGCAGAGGGGGGCATTCCAGATAGAGGTGCTACGAGCAGAGGGGGGCATTCCAGATAGAGGTGCTACAAGCAGAGGGGGGCATTCCAGATAGAGGTGCTACGAGCAGAGGGGGGCATTCCAGATAGAGGTGCTCCGAGCAGAGGGGGGCATTCCAGATAGAGGTGCTACGAGCAGAGGGGGGCATTCCAGATAGAGGTGCTACGAGCAGAGGGGGGCATTCCAGATAGAGGTGCTACGAGCAGAGGGGGGCATTCCAGATAGAGGTGCTACGAGCAGAGGGGGGCATTCCAGATAGAGGTGCTACGAGCAGAGGGGGGCATTCCAGATAGAGGTGCTACGAGCAGAGGGGGGCATTCCAGATAGAGGTGCTACGAGCAGAGGGGGGCATTCCAGATAGAGGTGCTCCGAGCGCGCTTGGGGGAGGGGGTGCGAGAGGGTGGGAGATGGTGGGAGAAGAAGGCAGGCGTGGGAGGGCGGCGTACAGCAAGGCGGCGCTTGAAAGCGTCGTAGAGGCCAAACTGCAGGCCGGCATAGGGGATGATCTCCACCATGGTGGGCGGCAGGCCCGCAAACAGCCCCCTCACCCCGCGCTCCCTCACTATCCCCATGCACGCCGCCCTCATGCCCGCATACACCTGCACAGACGCGTTGAATTGGGTGGGGGGGTGGGAGAAGGGGCAGGCATGATGAGAGTGTGTACACACAGCCCCCTCTTGCTGCACCTACATTACACACTCACTGCTCTCATGCCACACTCATGCCTCATGCCCCATGCCTCATGCCTCATGCCTCATGCCCCATGCCTCATGCCCCATGCCCCATGCCTCATGCCTCATGCCTCATGCCTCATGCTGCACCTTGGGCTCGCCCTGGCTGGCCAGCACGGTGCGCAGGAGGTCGAAGGGGTACGAGCCCACCGTGGCCGCCATGCCCGCCACCGACCCGCCCACGAATGACAGCTCCGCCCGCAGCTGCTTGTGGTCCTCTGCCAGGGGGGTGGGCGCATGAAGCATGGAGACAGGAAGGATAAGGGGGAAGGGGGAATCACAGGTTTATGAGTGAAGAATTGACGGGCAGGGGTGAAGGGAGATCCGCTCAAATGACAGATGCGACTTCTCGAGGTCCTTGAGATTGGCGGAGGAAGGATAGGGGGAGGGGGGGGTGGTGAGGCATGAGTAGATGAGAAAGGTTGAGTATGAGACTGGAAGTATTAGTTTCACTGGCACTGGCAGGCATGGAGAGCGTGGGCAGGCATGGAGCGCGTGGGCATGGGAAGGGAAAGCGGGGCCACGGGGCTCGCTTGCCGTCCCCACTGCCCGACCTCACCCGCCCCCACACCCGTCCCTCCATCTCGCCTCCCCTGCTTGCTGTCGGCCTGCCCTGTGCTCACCTGTGCGGTGCGAGCCGGTCATGAGCGATTTGAAGCGGTGGATGACGACGAACTGGATGGCGGTGTAGGGCATGACGAGCAGCAGCCCCGGCACCGTGCCCCGCCAGAAGCCCTGCTCCCACGCCGGGGGGGGAGAGGGGAGGGGGAACAAGTGTTGGGGGGCTTGGGGAAACGTGGGAGATGGGGGAAGGGGAAATAGAGCGAGGTGGAAACTGGGCGAGGGAGAGGAGCAAGGCGGAGGCGCGGAGGAGGGTGAATGAGGCAGGCTGGGGTGAGGGAAAGTGAGACGAAGCGTGGCGAGCGGATGGGGTGAATGGGCACGGGGCAGGGCACGGGGCGACATCTGCCTGTCCGCTGCTCTCTGCATGCCTGCTCCCTCCGGCCCGCGCTCTTGCTCACAGCAGCTTCCAGCCCGTTCAGCATATGCAGTAAGTTCAGCAACGCCCTGTTCCTCCACCCTCCCTCCCTACCCAGCCTCGCTCACTCCCCCTCTCCCCCTTCCCCACCCACTTTATAACTTTGCAACCCTCTTCCTCAACCAAACCCCACTCCCTCCCCATCCTCACCCCCTCTCCCCACCTCCCTCCCTCCTTTCCCCTGTTCCTCCCTGCTTAGGGCGGGTCCAGCGCGTACATTTTCCGTACATTACAGTTCATCCAGTGCGGTAATCTGTATTTCGTCACGGTTCAAAACGGTGCAATTTTAAAACCGCTGTGCACCGCCTGTTATCTTTTCAAACCTCGACAAATGAGCTGTATAGCACCTGTAAACGTACGCGCTGGACCCGCCCTTACCACCTTTCCCCCTCCATCCCTTCCGAACCTCTAACCCTTCCACCCACTGCCTGTCTCCCGGCCGCGCCACATTGTGAGCGGCCATTCCGCCCACAGCAACCCCACAGCCTAAACCCTGGACCTCAGCTCCGCACCCGATCGCCTCCCACATTCCACGCCTCCCGCCTCGGCCCGTCTCCATCCCCCTCCCGCATCCCCTCTCCCCACCCAGCCCCACCTGCACGCCTTCCTCGCGGAGAATCTCCCGCGCGGCCTGCAGCAGCCCCGTGTACTTGGACCGCGACGCGCGCACCGCGCCCGCCGCCACCGTCGCCGCCGCGCGCCCAGCTGCGGAGGTGGCGGCGGCGGCTGCGGCATGCGGCGCGTGGATGGGCTCCAGCTGCACCTGCGGGGATCGCGAGGACGGCGGGGTGGACGGGGCAGCGGCGTGCGGTGCGCGAGGGCGCGCCGCGGGAAGGGTGAGAAATAAGTGCGCGCCAGTTCGGCTGGTCGCGGAGAGAAGAAACGAGGAGAGAAAACGGATCGCGGGGCGGCACTATGCAGCGTGAAGGCATGAGGACGGTCCGAAGCAGCTGCGGAGACGGAGCGACGAGAGAGTGCGAGGCATGACGTGGGAGGTATGCTGTGAAAGGCACCTGGAATCGGATCTTGATGACGTCGAGCGGCGACACCACGAGGCGCGCCACCCCGCCCGACACGGCCCCGGCAAGGGCGTCGAGCACGGGGCGAGGCAGCAGGTGCTTCCTCTGTGCGCGCGGCGACGCCGATGCGGATGGCGGCGATGCAGGCGAGTCGGGCTCGCGAAAAACGGTCATGGCTGCGTTCGAGGCGGTGGGAGTCGGTGTGTGTTCGATGCACGCTGACGCGCTCAGCCTACTACTAGATGCATGGCGTAACGACCCCTCGCGCACACCTACAACGTCAGCCTTATTCGAAGCACGCAATGAGAACTTCAGAAGAACTCCTGAACGGCAAATATATTTTCTCCCGTCAGCCAGACCAGCAAAACAAATATCTAGGCTTTTTGGCTTGGTCAGATCGGATGGCGGTTCAGGCTTGTCCCTCGGAAATTGCAACCAATCGCAAGCCTCTCGACTCGTCCCCGAACTGATCTGCATTCTTGCCTTCGTCCTTGCGATAGCGAATTTGATATCCTGTGCTCCACGGCTGTCGCGCGTGTTCGCGCCCAGTTCGAACATCATGGTAACCAGGTTCTCGCGGAGTCACCCCCAAAAGGGTGAACGATGGAGGATTTTGGAGGTTCAAAACTCCCGCCTATCCATTCTTCTCCCGCCTCAACCCAATCCAAATCATCGCATTCTGAACTAGCCTTCACCCGCTTTCCATCAAGCGAGTCGCAGTGCTCCCACGCATCACCAGCCACGCGACCATGGCGAACGTGACCGTATGCGTTAGGTTCCGGCCCCAGGTGAGTACGAAGCGAGTGAGCCCGTTGAGGCACGCCGCCTGTTGAAGCAACTAACGTGGTCGGTGGGAGTGAGCAGAACAAGATCGAGCTTCACGAAGGCGGGTTGATCTGCGTCGAGAGGAACTGCGACCAGTCCTTCTACTTGAAGGCACGACCGATGACCGTGACATCTGCTTTGTTTGTTGTTTCGTGTCGGCGTACGGGAAGCGTCTAACGCGACGACGCATTGCAGGATGAGAAGGAGGAGAAGACGCTGTTCACGATGGACAGGACCTTCTACCAGGACTCGTCTCAGCAGGAATTCTTCAGCTACGTCGCACTGCCCGTCGTGCAGGGTACGATGAATCGCCACGATTGCGAGGTTCTCGAGAATTGCTTAACGTATCGCTAAAAGAACTGTCGCTTGGTGATCCGCAGATGCTCTTTCCGCAATCAACGGCACAGTGCTCGCGTATGGTCAGGTATGGCCGATTCAGCTCGTCGATTCACGATTCGTCGTATTAACTGGCCACCTTCCGTGCAGACCGGAGCGGGCAAGACGCACACGATGGAGGTGAGCGCAGCTTCGGTCTCCGCATCCCGCTGCTGCTTGCGCGCCGAGCCTGACGGCGATTTTTCTGATCGCAGGGGCCCAACATGCTCATCGACGACCCCGAGAGTTCCGGCATTCTCCCGCGCGTCGTCAAGGAGATCTTCGTCCGCATCAACGCGACGGCGGCCCCCAGCGAATACAAAGTCGCCCTCTCCGTGGTAAAGCTTCGGAGCAATTGTCAGTGTTGGGCTTAGACCTGACAAACGCTGACAGAACATTTGGGCAGGTCGAGATTTACATGGAGCGGATCAGGTAAGCTACTTGCAGGATTCAACAGGTCGAAACACATATTTTGAGACCCTCCTCTTGACACTTTTTATCTCTGACACGGAAGCACACTTCTTTGTTGAAATAGCATCGTTCAAGAATTGCGTTCTACCAGGGACCTGTATGATGTGAGCAAGGACAACCTGGTGGTGAAGGAGGACCAAACCCGAGGGATCTCCATTGCCGGCGTCACTGAGGTGCGTCCATCATGGTGGTGGCGCTCCTGTTGTGCTCAGTGCTGTGCAATGGCTTCGCACCTTTCATGCATGTGTTCGTTGCATGCTGCAGATATATGTTGAAGGCGAGAAGGAGATGCTTCAGCTTCTCGAGGTACCCTGTTCTCTAACTTTCCGCACCTGTTCTTTGAAACTCAGCAGAGCTGTTAACTCTTTTCTTTCAGGCTGCGATCAAGAATCGGGCTGTTGGGGCGACCAGTAAGTGTTTCACGTCGTCGCCTGGTCCTTATTGCTTTGACTTGCCTGTTCCAGCAGAGCTTGTGATGCTCAAGTGACCGTTGTCATTGCAGACATGAATCAGGGAAGTAGCCGCAGCCACTGCATGTTTCTTCTGACAATCCAACGTACCTCTGCGGATGGGAGCAGGTGTGGTAGTAAGAACTTCTTTTCACTTCTGCTAACCGGTCCTTGTGCTCATCAGCGAATGCTTCTGGCAGCTCGCAAGTGGGGAAGATCTACCTTGTGGATCTGGCTGGCTCGGAGAAGGTTGACAAGACAGGGGCGGAAGGGCGGCTGCTGGATGAGGCCAAGATGATCAACAAATCGCTCTCTGCTTTGGGGAATGTCATTAACGCCCTCACATCCGGTGGGGTTTCATTCTTCTTAACCTGATTCTGGTCGTGTGCTGTACATCTAAGGTTGCGAATCGATGCAGATAAGGCTTCGCACATCCCCTACCGTGACTCCAAGCTCACTCGCATACTGCAAGAATCGCTCGTGAGTCAATGTTTGTTTGAGTCGCCACGTGAGTGGGTGGAGGCAACGGCTAAAGCAGAATGACGAATTCAATCTGTCACTGCAGGGTGGAAATTCGCGTACAACTCTACTGTGCTGCTGCTCGCCTTCCACTTACAACTACACAGAATCCGTATCCACTGTTCGCTTCGGGTTAAGGTAGCAGTTTCAGCTCTATCTGCCACTTGATTTTGCATGCCGCTTGCTTGACTGGCTCTCACGTGCACCCAATGGCAGAGCGAAGCAAATCAAGAACAAGCCTGTCGCCAATAAGGAGGTGGGGCGTGGAGAGCTCCAGCGTCGCTTGCAGGAATCAGAGATGGAGTGCGAGTTTCTAAGGCAGCACATTCAGACCCTGACCCTGGCCATCCAAAGGCTTCCTGGTGGAGGTATTGTCGATGTGGAGCTTGCGGAATGGGCAGCAGCCTTGCCGCTCGTTTGGTAACCTCCCCGCTGTCCATGCAGATGGGGTTTTGAGGGACATTGGCGATCCAATCAGCGGAAGAACTTCAGGCTCCGATAACAGCCTGAAGGTGCGCTTGCTCAGGAAACACCTCGTTGAATGTGCATCCTGCTTGTATGTTGAGCTCATTTGATGTTCTGCAGGGAAGCCAAATGCTTGCTGCGTGCATTGAGGGGTTGCATGGCGTTCTTGCCAGTGAGGGCATGGCCTGGGCGTCTGAGCTGCCCACCATTGAAGACACGAGTGACATTCCCAAGCTCCTGCCTGGTGTGGTTGAGAAGCACCTCTCTAGTCAGTCCAGTGAGGGAAACGATGAGAAGGATTTGAAGTACCTCGAAGAGGCTTTGGATGATATGGCTGCCCGTCTCAAGAAGGTGAGGAACGTGGCTGATGAGACTGATTGTTTGCCAGATTTGTTGTCTAATATTTCATTTGATTGTGCAGCTGGAAAGCAAGATAGGAAGATAGCACTGCTTTGCCATGACTATGTGCTAGCATGTGCTGTGTGCACATTGGGAGGCCTCTGGTGGAGGTTTGGGATGCAGGGAAAGTTCAGGTTGGTGGTAGTGAGAATTTGCAGCGCGTCATCTTCCACCCATCTCCTGGTGGTGGTCTCTTGCACCATGTGTGTTACTACTTCCCAGCCATTGACATGAAGATAACCTGGTAGTACCTGGGCAGGTTTACTGTTATGCTACTTATGAGGTATGCTTGGAGAATTCAGCCTATCATACCGATACTGTTACGGTAGTTGCAAGGTTACCACCCAACTTGTACAACAAATATAAAAAATATTTTGCTCCATCCCCTGGATATAAGCACATGCGCCTATAGAATACTTGGTCAAAGGCAAAATCAAATTTTGCTTGCTCTTACTGTTTTATTGCGGTTTGGTTTTCCAGAGAGGAAAAACTGTGCTTGTATTCTGTTCGACCTTCCTTGTATCGAGCTTTTTACGGGGGGGTTGGACAGTACTCGAGATGCTCGTTTCGTGCCTGCGGTTTGACGAAAAAACAACTCCAAGGGGTGAATGGAATGCCGCACAAATGGACGTGCCTACGCAATTGCTTGACGACTGCCCGTTGCCCAAAAATCGTTGCTCAAAACGCATTCCAGACACCAGTCCAACTCGGAGCCGCACCGTCTGCTGCCTGTTGAGTGACGCACGCTGGAGGAAAGATGGCTGGGCCTGGTTGAGTTCGGTCAAGATGGGAAGCAGCTGGGTTGAACCACACTGCACTCACTTCATGCGGCATTCCCTATTCCCTCCCCACCTCTATCCATCTCTAGTTCGACAAGCTCTCGCCTTCCCAATTACAGCCCATTTCCGCACTTCGATAAGTTGTTTAGCAGTCTAGCCAGCATCCTAGCTTCCTGGGAGTAATCTCCATCAACGAACGACTGGACCTAACAGGATCTACTTCACCGGTGCCGAAGAGACTTATCGCATGGCGCGTTCCCCGCTGATATATGCTGCCGTGTTTGCTCTAGCTGTAGCGGTGACCGTGACGGTACCCCTTTGCGAATGCGCCGAAGCCCCTCAGAGGTAAGGTTCTGCTCTCGACGCATTTGAAGCGAGCGTATGCATTTTGAGTTCAGGCGAAAAAAAACCCATGAGAGTCGGCGAAATTCAGAAACCTGAATTTAACATGCACAGGAGAATTTTCATGGGGGTGGTGGGATCACTGAAATTTGGGAAGGTGAACCCCCTCTACTCAATGTCAGTAAAATCACCTCACCAAATACTCGCTGAATAGCATACTCAAGGAGAGCGAAGAGGGTAACGCGGCTGCCTTCACACCTCGCTGCGCCTCCCTTCATTCCCCGCCGCGCCTCCTCTCCCACCTCGCCGCGCTTCTCTCGCGCGCCTCCCGTCGCACCTCGCCGCGCCTTCTCTCGCGCGCCTCCCCTCGCATCTCACGGCCCTCGTAGCTCGTGGGCAGCAGCCGTCCACTCCCTCTACCAACTCCTCGCCCATCTCACATACTGCTCACCTTGCCCTCCCACTGTCGGTGCGTCCGCCCTCTCTCGTTTGGCGGGCCCGCCATCTAACCTCCCGGGACCCGCCAGTCTCACTCTCGCCGCGCCCGTCTTCTGACACTCCCCGCCCTTTCCTTCGCACGGCGAGTCGTTGCCCTCAATTGAACCCCCGGATTACCCTCACTCTCCCCCAGCCTCCGCTCAGTTTCCCCCCCCCTGCTTCCCCTACTTTTCCCTTCTTCTTCCCCTCAATCCCCCCCTGCTTCCCCATACATACCCCCCTGTTTGCCCTCAGTTTCCCCCCTGCTTCCCCACACTTTCCCCCTGCTTCCCCTCATTCCCCCCCCTGCCTCCCCTCACTTCTCCCCCTGCTTACCCTCACTTTCCCCCCAGCCTCCACTCAGTTTCCCCTCTGCCCCCAGTTTCCCCCCTGCACTTTCCCCCACTCATACGCTCCGTCATCCCCCTGCGTACCCTCCCTTCCCTCTGTTTCCACTGCCCCTATCCGGCCTGTGCCACCTTCCCTCTCCCCTCTCTCCCCCCTGTTTCCCCCTTCCCTACATGTTTCCCCCTTCCCTACAGGTTTCCCCCTTCCCTACATGTTTCCCCCTTCCCTACATGTTTCCCCCTTCCCTACATGTTTCCCCCTTCCCTACATATTTCCCCCTTCCCTACATGTTTCCCCCTTCCCTACATGTTTCCCCCTTCCCTACATGTTTCCCCCTTCCCTACATGTTTCCCCCTTCCCTACATGTTTCCCCCTTCCCTACATGTTTCCCCCTTCCCTACATGTTTCCCCCTTCCCTACATGTTTCCCCCTTCCCTACATGTTTCCCCCTTCCCTACATGTTTCCCCCTTCCCTACATGTTTCCCCCTTCCCTACATGTTTCCTTCCCCCTTCCCTACATGTTTCCCCCTTCCCTACATGTTTCCCCCTTCCCTACATGTTTCCCCCTTCCCTACATGTTTCCCCCTTCCCTACATGTTTCCCCTTCCTACATGTTTCCCCCTTCCCTACATGTTTCCCCCTTCCCTACATGTTTCCCCCTTCCCTACATGTTTCCCCCTTCCCTACATGTTTCCCCCTTCCCTACATGTTTCCCCCTTCCCTACATGTTTCCCCCTTCCCTACATGTTTCCCCCTTCCCTACATGTTTCCCCCTTCCTGCATGTTTCCCCCTTCCCTACATGTTTCCCCCTTCCCTACATGTTTCCCCTTCCCTGCATGTTTCCCCCTTCCCTACATGTTTCCCCCTTCCCCACATGTTTCCCCCTTCCCTACATGTTTCCCCCTTCCCTACATGTTTCCCCCTTCCCTACATGTTTCCCCTTCCCTGCATGTTTCCCCCTTCCCTACATGTTTCCCCCTTCCCTACATGTTTCCCCCTTCCCTACATGTTTCCCCCTTCCCTGCATGTTTCCCCCTTCCCTACATGTTTCCCCCTTCCCTACATGTTTCCCCCTTCCCTACATGTTTCCCCCTTCCCTACATGTTTCCCCCTTCCCTACATGTTTCCCCCTTCCCTACATGTTTCCCCCTTCCCTACATGTTTCCCCCTTCCCTACATGTTTCCCCCTTCCCTACATGTTTCCGCCTTCCCTACATGTTTCCCCCTTCCCTACATGTTTCCCCCTTCCCTACATGTTTCCCCCTTCCCTACATGTTTCCCCCTTCCCCACATGTTTCCCCCTTCCCTACATGTTTCCCCCTTCCCTACATGTTTCCCCCTTCCCTACATGTTTCCCCTTCCCTACATGTTTCCCCCTTCCCTACATGTTTCCCCCTTCCCTACATGTTTCCCCCTTCCCTACATGTTTCCCCCTTCCCTACATGTTTCCCCCTTCCCCACATGTTTCCCCCTTCCCTACATGTTTCCCCCTTGCCTACATGTTTCCCCCTTCCCTACATGTTTCCCCCTTCCCTACATGTTCCGCCTTCCCTACATGTTTCCCCCTTCCCTACATGTTTCCCCCTTCCCTACATGTTTCCCCCTTCCCTACATGTTTCCCCCTTCCCCA